GGACCAACCCACACACGGCAGAAGAGAACCCGCCCATTGTCACCCTCCGACCGGCGACGGCCCGCCCCAGCCCCCGTCAGCGCCACCGGACGGCTGCCCATTGGATATATCTATCCGTTGGATAGAGGAAGTGGGACACACTCTCGACCATGGGCTGCAGCCCTCTCTCTATCAGAAAGCGACTACTTCTGCCCGTGGGCGTAGCCGAAGGATTTATGTCATGCTTTCAACGAGGAAGCGTCCCCCTACTCCCCCCTCCCTTTTTTTGCATCAGGTGGGCGCTTTACGCTGAGTCCCTTTTTGCAGCCGCGTACTGTACCGCGCGCGTCCCGTCGACAGGCTTGCCTAACGTCACTGGCTGCGGCGCCTTCCGGCCCCGAGCCGCGTAGGCAACCCCGCGTCTGCGTCCGGTACAGCAGGCGTGCGGTCAGCAAGTCGCCCACCCGGCCGCACCGACGAGACCACCCGACTCACCTCGATGACGAAGGACGCGTTCGAGTCCGTGTGCTGCGACGCGGAGGTGAAGGCTGACTGCTCCGACTCGGTGGACACCCAGGACGCCGACGACGCGTTGCTCCTCATACTGCCGCCCGACGTGCCCCTCTTCTCGATGTCCCCCGTCGACCGCTGCTTGCGGAGCTTCAGGCCCTGAGGGTCGAGTCACGTTTTTTGAGGATACCGATACAATATTTAATGTTTGTCGGGAAAAGTGATCCCCGTCTACGGTTACCCGCGCGAAGGACTGTACTGTACTCACGGACAGGATGGAGCGCTTGAGCCCCGACTTCTCCACCAGGCTCCTCCGCCGCGCCGGCGGCTCGTCGCTCTTGGCCTTGAGCACGAAGCCTCCCCGCGAGTCGTCGACTCGGCGGTCGCGCTCGGCGGCCGGGTCCAGGGCGCCGCCCGAGCCCCCGCCGCCCCCGCCGCCGCCGCCGCTGCCACCTCCGCCGGCATCGTTGCTCCTCAGAGAGGACATGGAAGCCCGGAGCTGGCTCTTTTGCGGTCGGTAGTGCGAGGCCTGGCCGAACGGCGCCGAGGCCCGCACGCCGTAGCCATGCCGCATGCCCCGCAGCCATTGGCCCTGGTACGTGCCTGTCAGAAACAGAGGAGAGCAGTTTTAATGCAACAGACAATCATTTATTGGTATTACACACAGTACATCATAACAGAATGTTACAAGAAGAACTTTCTTTAAAGGATATCGGAGGGTAAAACAATCTGTATCATCCCCTCGCTTCTGGTGGAGACAGAGAAGACAGTTTTCGATCCTCGGTTGGGCGTTTCCCGACGCAACCCTCCTCCCGACACAATTTCCGGATCACGGCTGCGTCGAAAAGAGACTAGACATCTCGCAAGGCTCATGATGCTGACTTACACACTGTACGTTTCTCTCACCTTAAACGTACAGAAATTATTTGTTATTTTTTTTGTAATGTAAGACAAACAAATCATTTGTTCTAGGAAGGGCTCGACTTTATAATACGGAGAGACGAGACGTGTTGTCTTGACATGTCTTGTCGTGTAACGACAAATATCTTAAAATTTCTACAAAGAATTGCTGTGGGACACACTGTGACACTGTAAAGTGCGTGCACAGTCACAGTCAGTCACAACCAGCTTTGTCATACACCGGCTAGCTTACGTCACGAGTTTAATAATAATGGGGGTGGGGGGAAGCAGTCTTATTCGTGGGACTACAATTGGTGTTTTGGTGGCCGCATTTAGCCCCCTTCCCTCCCCCTGCCCACACCTGCGGCCCCGCCGGGCCTCACCCCGGTGATACGGACAACACGTCATCAGGACCTAGAGATGGGAGGGGGCTATTTATTATTCACGTTTTGTTTCGTGCGCCCCTCTCACCTCTGCCCTGCCCGCTCCCCCCCTCCTCTCTCTCTCTCTCT